GTGGGGAGGCCTTGGGTTTAGTTCTCTTTACCACTAAACAAACAACAAACAAACAAACAACCAGGCCTGTGGTTTAGCTCAGTACAAAGGTTCCAGGTTCAATCCCAGTGGGGAAAAAAAAAAAAAGGATTCAGAGGCCCCAGCCTACTCCTTTTTATCCATCCCCTGGCACGAGCCCGTTTGTTGCCAGGCCAGTTCTCTCAGCTCAAGGCTAACACTCCCCAACACCTCCCAGCCTTTGAAAAGTACCTAGCATGTGTTCACTTTGCTGCATTTCTCAGGCTTAGGCGGGCTTGCGCACCAGCTGTCATAAGGCTCCTGGCCTGTTTGAGGTAGGAGAGGTAGGATCCCCTTTAGCCTTGAGGCTCAAAGAGCCCTGGGAGCTGCTCAGCATCCCAAGGTCTGCCTTGGTGCCTCTGTGCGGGGGAGGGGAGAAAGTCTGATTTTTCACTATAGGCCCTCCCTTGAAAGTATCTTCCTCTTCTCATAGTGAAATCCTAAGCTTGGATGAGCCAAACAGTTGCTGTCTCCCTGCCCAGAGACCCAGTGAAAGGCACTTGCGCTGGGGTGCACTTGTTTTAAAAATCCAAAAGCCTATTTTATCTGTGTGCAGTGCTTTTTACTTCCCCGTTGCTCTGGCACCACTTTTCGGTTGATGCCACCCTTTTTGTTTCTGCTGGCATGCACCTTCCCTGCATACATCTTCCCATGATCTTCAGTAAATGGTGCTGCTCTTCATTTACCATTGGATGTATGCTTTGCAGTTCTCTGCTTGTCTACACAAGAGTCTGGAATCTACCTGTGGGATCCACCACGAGGTAACACTTTCTATTTATTTTCTGATAGTGAGAATTGAACACAGGGCCTAGAGCATGCCAAACAAGCATGCTATCACTGAAGCACAGCCCTAGCCGCCTTCAAATTTTATTTAGAGACAGGATCTTGCAAAGTTGCCCAGGCTTTGCCCCTGGTTCCTTAGCCAATGCTCCATTCCCTTCAAACATGAGCCCTGCCCATTCTCCTCTTCCCAAGCCCTCACTACCCTCAGGTGATGGCAAGAATTTTCCTCACAGTCTGTGGGGGTAGGGGAGGCAAACCAGACATTGCCAAGGGGAATTCAGCAAGAACAACAAATATGGAACCCATGAGCCAGTAGTGGTGGCTCACACTTGTATCCTCAGCTACCTGGGACCGAGGCAAGAGGACTGAAGTTCCAGCCAGCCTGGGCAACTTAGCAAGGTCCTATCTCCCCTTCAGTGTTCAATCCCCAGTAGAGGGCAGGGAGAGGGATGGAGGAAGGGGCAGAGGATGAAAGAAGTCAGATACACAAGCTACCTGCTGTATGATTTTACTCACCTGCAAATGACCAAGTAGCAGGGACAGAAATCAGATCAGGAGGTACCAGGGATCAGTGGTGAGAGAGGGGAGAGGAGGGGACCAAACATTTCAGGGTGATGGCAATGCTTTATACTACCTATACTACCTTTATGGTACCTATATACCTTTATACTTCCTGACCGGTGGTGGTCACACAGTTATACACATTTGTGAAATATTTTTGAACTGTACACTTAAAATGGGAGTAAACTTTAAAATTAAAGAGTGTAATATTTAAAAATCCGATAGTATAATGGTGAAAAAAACAAGAGCCAAGATACATCATGTAAAGGTACAAGATCCCAATAAGAAATGTAACTGTTGTTACATTGTATACCTAAAATGTACCAATAAACTAAATGGAAAAAAAATCCAATAGTATAAATCACAGCACAATAAACCTATCTTTCAAAAAAAAAGGGAAGGGCTGAGTGTGTAGTTCAGTGCGTGGTAAAGTGCTTGGCTAGGTTGTTTAAGGTCCCGGATTCAACCCACATCACCGCAAAAATACAATAGAGATGGGAAAGTACAGGGAGAGAAAACAGAGTTTAGTCATAAGAACCAGATTGCCAGGGTTCAAATTTCACCTCCAGCAGTTGGGAGCGGTGCAAGTATCTAGAGTAAATGGGTCACTTTGTTTCTCTGGTCTCTCCCTTGCACCGAGGCAACAAACAGGATTTTGAAAGACCCTGTCCATAAAGCGCTTGGCTCCCTGCTCAAGCGCGCGCTCCCAGGCTTGCCCAGCGCCCTGCGAGGCCACGCACTCTTCCTCCTTTGGATCGGAGGCGGAGGCCACAGTACTGACACCCTCACTGTCGCGCCGCGTGACTCTGGGAGCCCAGTCGGGCAGGCGGAGCGCCGTCCTCCTACACTTCCCCAGGCTGGGGATTCACAGAGCCAACCAGGAAGGGGGAGCCAGGGACGGGGGGCGGGGCGGGACTAAGGCCCAAAGCGAGGAAGGGGAGGGGCTTAGCCGTGGCGGGGGGGGGGCGCGGGAAACCAGGTGGGGGGCGTGTCCGGAGCCGGGTGGGGGTCTGGAGCCTGAGGGTGGGGGTCCGGAGCCTGAGAGTGGGGGCTGGTAGAGGCTCCTAAAACACTTATGGGGAAGTTGGAGGGGGGCAGCTGTGTGTGCGCGCGCGCGTGTGCGTGTGTGTGTGTGTTTGTGTGTGTGTGTGTGTGTGTGTGTGTAGTTGCTGGAATGGGGTGGGAGTTGCAGTGGTGTAGGGGGCACTGGGACCGGCCTTCTGCATGCCCAGCTCGGTCTTCCCTGGGCTCTGGCCTCCAACACAGCCTGCATCATCCTCTGCCTCAGTCCAGGCTCTGATCGATGGATTCCTAGCCTATACTGACCCCGTGTGCCCCTGGTCACTCGCCTTGTCTCTGTGGTTGGTTCTGCCTGCCCAAGGGGTCTCTGGGTCTTTGTCCTCAGTCTGAGTCTTTCTCCTCTGCGCTGTGACTAGAGCCTCCTCTCTCTATTTCCTTCTTTGTCTGACTCAGCTCTCTGATCCTTTCTCTGTTCTGCGTTCCCAAATACTGAACATCTCCTCTTGGTCTTTGGTAAATTTGGGAACCAAAATTCCCCATAGGGTTTGGCCTGTGGCCTGGCTGCAGCTATTCTGGGTCCTGGGAGAGAGGCCGGCCATCAAGCTGGCAAGCAGTGGTCTCTGGGGCCCTGTGGGAAGGGGCAGTCTCCTTTCAGTGAGAGCAGGAATTCTCCCAGGCCCAGCAGACTGTGCTCAGCCACTTGGACTCTGGTCCCTTTCTCTGGTAGGGTCTCTTGGGCCCAGTGACCCTTTAAGGGCCCTTTGACCTCTCTGAGGATGTTAGCATTCCCCTTGCTCCCTCCAGAGCCCCAGATTCCCTTGTTCTTGGAAGCCTGCAAGGCCTGATTACACTTTTCCTCTCTGTCAGGCTCATACACAGGCTGCTCAGGGAAACGCCATCTGGCCAGTAGAGGGGGCCTCAGCCCCAGATTTTTCAAATTTTGGGATTGGTGCAAAGCCAATCACAGCGTGCCGTACAGTGTTAGACTCCAGGACCCCCAGATGTCTCACCATTCCTACCTAAGGCCAGAGCAGTTTCCACCTGGAGATTCTGAAATCCTCTCTCCCCACTATTTTAAGAATTTGTATGAATTCTGTACACGCTTTAGATGACTCTTGTAAATGTGAGTTGGATTGTTTCTATACACCTAGAAGAGATTTGTGGTGTTTGGTTTCTTTGTTTTTGCCTTTTGGCCATAGTGGTGATTGAACCCAAGCCTGTCACCAGACGGGGTCTGAGGAGGTTCCTGAGGCTGAGATAAAGAAGCTAAACTGCCCTTCTTGTTGAATAAGTGTGTAGCTTCGCTGACTCCTGTTACAGAAAAAGAATTTTCAGGACAGGTCAGTAAGAACCTCAGGAAGAGTTGGGCATGGTGGTGTACGCCTGTAATCCCAGCACTTGGGAGGCTGAGGCAGGAGGATCATCACAAGTTCAAGGCCAGCCTGGACTACATAGTGAATCCAGAGCTAGCCTGAACTGCAAGGTGAGACCCTGCCTTAAAGCAAAAGAAAGAAACTCAGTAAGGCTTTGTTAGGCAGAGATTTTAGTACACACTCAAAGAATTACAAAGAAGTGAGGGGCTGGAAAGAGAGAGAATGCCTGTGTGTGTGTGGTGGTGGTGTGGGAGGGGATGTGATGGAGACTAGACAGGGACACCACCAGTTGGAACCTGTCCACTTGCCATCTTAGAGAAATGTAAGTTTCTTTTTACTATGTCACAGGACGTATCGTCAGGCCAGAAGCAGTCTCCCGGGGACATGTCAGGAGGTTACTAAGGTACTGGGAGAGGGTGTGGCAGAGCCAGGCCTGGTGGAGAAGAGGACGCGTTTACCTCCCCGTCCATTCCCCATAAAACCATCAGAGCATGATGTTCTGCAGATCTTAGCTACTCTCCCAGTTCCAGTTGCAGATCAGCTCCTTTTATCTCCCCCTGCACTTCCCTCATCCCTACCACTATAAGTTAAGGTGCAGCAGTTGCCTGGCTGTCTCTTTCTTCCATCAGGAGGAAAGCTCCACCTGGCCCCAGCTTTTGTATCTCTTTGTTCTGTTTGTTCTGTCCTTCTTCTTCATTCCCCCACCATTCTCCCTCCATGGACCCTTCAGCTGAGAAGGCTGTGGCACTTGGGGTCCCCTGAGGACATGTCAGCAGGATGTAAAGGACACAGAGGACACATCAGCTGGCTGTTTCCCCTGACCCACCCCCTCAGAAGCCCGCCAGAAAATGCTATTTAAAAAGCCTCTTAGCCTGTAAGGGACACCTGCTCTGTTCTGCTCGCACAGAGTGGTCCTTCTCAGGTTTAGCCACAAACCTGCTTGGGCTGTTGAGTTCGCGTTTCCCACCCCCCTTTCTGCCCAGGAGATACACCTTATTTCTTGGAAATGAAAAATTGTATGCTTCCCTTGGGGGGGGCCCTGGCTCAATCCTCAGTACTGCCAAATAAATAAGGCCAATGGCAGTAATTTTGTTTTTATGCATCTATGAACAGAAATGCAATTACTCCATTTTTTACCTTGTCCCACAGGAATCAGATGACTTCAGCATTATTATTATTATTATTATTTTTGTACCAGTCACCTTTTATTGAGCATTAATTCTCACTTAGGCTGTGAACAGATTCAGCCATGAGTAAGCTTTTCACAGATGGGAGTAGGATGAGGCAGTCACAGTCTAGAGTGCAGAGTGTGCCCTCCACACTGGCCCTTTTCAGTGGTACTTTTGTCGTTGCTCTTGTTTGAGTTCCTTGTAAGAAAAGCAGTAGCTGAAAATCAGGTAGGCTGCCAGCACCACGTTAAGCCCGGCGATGCTCCCTTTCTTCACATTGATGTACTTGTTGTAATACTGATAGTAACCTCTCTGAAATGCTCCCACAATGCCTGAAGGGGTGAAATCCTGCATCAATATCCAGCTGGGCAGCTCCCCTAGTTTGACATCCATGAGTTTCTTCTCTTCCACTGGTACGACAGAGGCCATCTTGAAGACCTGGTGTCCGCTAAAGTGGGGATTATTATTATTATTATTTTTGCTACTGGGGTTTGAACTCAGGACCTTGTGCTTGTCAGGCAGGTATGGTGCCACTGAGCTAAATCCTCAGCCCTTCACAACTATGTTTTGGTGGGTTATTTTTCACTTTTTGGTTTTCTTTTTCTCTTTATTTATCAATTATTTTTGAGGCAGGATCTCGCTACATAGGTCAGGCTGGCCTTGAAGTCACTATGTAGCCCAGGCTGGTCTTGCACTTTTGGCAATCATCTTACCTCAGCTTTCCAAATGCTGGAATTGCAGGCCTGTGCCACCATGTCTAGGTAGTAATTTCAAATAATACAAAATATACATACTAAAAAGAAAGTAGCCCTCTCATCCCTGATCATGATTTTCCTCTCTAGAGGACAGATCTGGTGCACTTCTTGTGTGCTCTCCCTTATTGTTTATTAAAAATCTGTCCAGGGTTGGGGGTTTAGCTCAGTGGTGCCACCACCTGCCTTGCAAGCACAAGGTTCTGAGTTTGATCCCCAGTACCAAAAAAAAAAAAAAAAAAAAAAATCTGTCTAACATAAATTCAGATAAAAGGAACATTTCCAAAAAGCTTCAAAATGTGAAATGAAACATAGGAAAGTTAGTGTAACTGGCTTCTCCTAGCTCTCTGGTTCTTGTTTTGGGACAAGGAAGATTGAAGCTGACAGAACAGCAAGCAGCAGGGAGTGGAGAATGGCCAAATGCATGTTTATTAGCAAG